AGCACGTGCAGCTGCTACCAGAGATAAAGAAGGATGATGGAGGGGCTTCCCATGCTGTTGGGTTGTTAGTCTGCAGGAAAGAGCATCTCCTTCTCTGTTGGCAAGGAAGGCCAAATAGAGTTCTGCTGCCTATTTCTAGCAGCAGAGGTCTATCAGCAGCTGCTGACAGAAATCCTGGTCCAGTTTAGAGGCACTTTTTTGTTAATGGTGCCAAATGGAAACAGCAAAAGCATCAAAACAGACCTGGCAATTACAAATAGTCCATCAGCCACACACAGTGCCCAAATCTTGTGACACTCCTTCTAGAGGGATACATCTTTGCGTTTTTGGATGACAATTTCCAAAACTCCTATGGTGTGTGGGGGGGGGAATTTTGGGAGTTATTGTCCAAAAACATAAGTTTGCACATAACTAATGAGAGACTTTGGCAACTGGAGATTAGCAGCAAACAGCAGAACTGAATTCTCAGTTGTGAAATCCAGTTGTTTAGCATAGTAATTCACAACTAGAGTAGGCCCATTGGGCACTTGGCAGTCAACTCCTCCATAGGTTCCACTGATTTGAGGGACCTACTCTAAATCAGCCACACACAGTGCCCAAATCTTGTGACACTCCTTCTAGAGGGATACATCTTTGCGTTTTTGGATGACAATTTCCAAAACTCCTATGGTGGTGGGGGAATTTTGGGAGTTATTGTCCAAAAACATAAGTTTGCACGTAACTAATGAGAGACTTTGGCAACTGGAGGTTAGCAGCAAACAGCAGAACTGAATTCTCAGTTGTGAAATCCAGTTGTTTAGCATAATAATTCACACCACTCATTATCACCACACTAAGCAACAGGATTTCAGCCAATTTGGCTTTAGTCTACCGCTAGACTAAAAGAAGACATTAAAGATGGCATTTCTTGCTAACAATGGATGATTTCTCATACCTCCACTTCACTGAACAGCTTGCTGCTTGAGAGAAACCATTGCTTTCCTTCAGAATCCCACAAAAGGAGCTTTCCCCAAGCATTGCTATTTTAGGCAAAACTCCTACCACTCATTATCACTTAACCAGTACGTCACAATTTACATTTCAGTTAAAAATGTAGTCGTCCGAAAACTGTCTTTCAGGCATCTTTGGCTTTCAATTGCATATTGTCCCACCAGATAACCAGCTGCCAATCCTCTGTGGACTATCTGAAAGTTTAACAGAGCTCAATTGTTTTCAAAGGGCTTTAAACTGAAACAAGGATTTTCCTTTACATGTAGGATGTTAAAATTAGAACTGCAATCCTTAGCTAATTTACTTTACAGCAGTACTGCAAAAATTCACTGGGGCTAGCACAATATTCATCTCGCTTTACTGAAATAAATCCTGTCTTGTATGATTATTTAGGGCTAGAGCTATCTACAATGCAGTATCTACCCAACATATTCACCTGGGTGTGAATCCTAAATAGATTTATTTGTATCCATTTTCCTTTTCTTAACTTCTGAGGACATTCAGGCCACAGTGCCTTCAAGAGGATTGTATTTTTCTACTTAAAACCGCCCAGAAACCCCTAGGAATAAGCAGACATAGAAAAGTGCAGACAACTGTTATGTCAGCCAGAGTGCGATGCTGTCCAACCAGGAAGGTCCTGGTTTTCGTGGGAGTAAGGATGTGGGAAAGCTGCTTCACTTCCTCCTTGGCAAACTCTGTGGCCTGCTTATTATATTGCATGAGACCCAGTGTGGGGAAGACCCAAGTACTGGCTAGAGGGACAACGTTATTGTCTGCAAAACTCAGCCACTGGCTGACCTGTGCAGCAGCTTCCTTGGTTTCTCCTTGAACTTCATTACTGCTGACATAGTGCACAGTGGCATTGCTCTAAAACTCACGGAATCCATCATCCTCTTCAAAGGCCTGAACTTTCCCAACTGGGAACTTCTTCAAGTATTCAGGGGTCTTGTTGGTCTGTCTGAAGGGAAACTGGGGCAAAGTAGAGGAGATCTTGATCTTGGCACCACTGTACTGGTCAGCAATTAGGGCCTTGAACATGTGCCAGTTTTGGGGATAAGTGCAGAGTCCTGGACACCACCATCTTAGCAAGGAGAGGAAAAGAACAGTTTCTGTTATTTAATGAAACTGTTATGTGAAGTCATACTGAGAGTTTGAAGTAAAGTGCGCTGAAGAGGCTCAGCTTTATCTTTCTGTATCATCTGAGTCAGATGAGGCTGAAAAAGGGCTAATAAACTGATGCTGAAGATAGACCCTGTGATGGACAGGTCAGTAACCACTCCTGTCCATCACAATAGAACCTTGATATATCAACCAATGGTTGAACAGAAGAGGCGGAAGTAAGGATATATAAGAGAAATGGAAGACAGTTAAAGATCAGTTAAGGATATGAGTTTGAGAGAAATAGTTTAGACAGTTAGGACCAGCATTATGTTAGAGAAGAATAGAGAGATAGAGAACAAGATAAAAAATGAATAAATACCTTGATTAACATGATTATACATAAGCAAATATGTTATAAAAGCAGTTTATTGAATGAATAAAATAAGACCATCCATGATTCACTTTACATGATTTACTGATAAACATAGAAATAAACATTATTAAATTGGAGAACTGTGATTTAAGAGTCATATTTGATAGAGTGAGGAATAAATCCTCTGGTGGCGGCGGAAAAAGGTTGAGAAATAAATGTCATACCCGAAAGTGAACCTGGGTTGTGTGGAAGAACAAACAGGGGAACTGGGTGTGTGTGACAGACCCACTGTGAGAAGGTGGTTGCCACCCCCAGAAAGCTGCTGTTCCATCTGTTCTGGCTAGAGATAAAGCTCCCTTGAAATGACAGGTGCATACAGTACCTTTTGGTTCTTTCTTGATGCAGCACCGTTACTACAAACCCAGTTGGCCATGTTGGCAACGAGTATTGGCTGGTTTGAAACCTGCAGCCATTCTTCAAAATGGATAGCCTAGCTGCAGGGATATGTGTTCTGCTAACCTACAGGCTGGTAATGCATTATATCTGACCGTGAAAACAGTTTGGAAGCTTCAGTTCATACTGACTTACCTACCCCTTTTGACTTGGTCAGTGGTTGCCTACCTTGGGTAACCCAGGTTTTCTTGGACTGCAACTCCTTGAAGCCTTCACCACTAGTTGTGCTGGCTGGGGTTTCTGGGAGTTGTAGTCCAAGAACATCTAGGGCTCCAAGACTGGAACCACTGGGCTAGGTGGAATCACATGATACAAACTCTGAAAGAATTATATTAAGTATATACCAGCAGCTTCCAAGACCAATGTAATATGCCAATGCTTGTCTTTTAAAGTCCTAAACAGTTTAGACTCCAAATACCTAAAGGAATTTCGCTTCCTACACAAAGTTGCTTATGTACTCTGAATGCTCATTTAAGTACTCATGTGAATCCTCATTCTGAGCATTATCAGAGAAATGTATTATGTAAATATACAGAAAGTCTCTTCTGTGGTGGCATCTCATTTATAAACACCATTGTTAAAGAAATTCAAAACAATGCAAGATGCTCTCACTCTGAGTCTCAATAAGATCCATTGCCTTCTGTCCCAAATCAGAAAATGGCTCACCATATTTCTTTGTGCTTTGTTTAAAGTTTTCATTAAAATAATAAATTATAAAATCTTTTGACCATGATGAAAAAATATTTTACAAAGGTGTGTGTGAAAAAGGAATAGATATAAATTTGAGGTTGAAGTGATTGTTTAAAAGTTTGGTATGTGCCGAATCTGATTTTTTGCTCCTTTGGTGAAATTTAAGCTGGCTATATTTTCAGGGAGTTAGGCAGAGAGAGCCCTGCCTATTAGCTAGGGCTCTTAGTCCAGCTGTTAAGAGATTCTGAATGAATCATGGCAAAATCTTCATTTATGTCTGGATATCAGTAGGTTGGGTAGTTTTATGACTGCCCAAGTCAAGTGTCTCCATTACGAGAAAAGAAGGCACACAAAAGGCTTTAAGCAGGGCTGTTTGAGACATTTTGCTGCTTGAAGTAACAAAAGGGATGAGGACATGACCCACCTCTCATCACAGGCAGCTTGTGCAACAAGTGCTGTAGGTGTTCAGGGCCTGAAGCTGAACATCAGGCACAATGGTTTAGGTATCTGGCTTTGGAGCCAGAGGTTAGGAATTTGCCTCCCATGAGTACAGCCAACTGGAGCCCAGGGTGCCCCCAGAAGAAAGACATTCTAAACTACTTCTGAATATTCTCTGCCTGGAAAGGTCGCCATAACTTGGAACAGACTTTGATGGCATGTGATGATGATTATTTACCCCAGTTCTGGTCATGAGCCACCCATGCCCCTTCCTTTCAGTGTAATCAAAGTCCTGGCTGCCAGTTACGCTTTCCCTTTGGATCAGCAATGGCAGGGGCTTCTCCTCCAGCCCAGGGCAAGCCAGCCCCTGCTGCCCTCCAGAAGCCTCGCGGTCGATCCGGCGCTGTGGCGGGAGTTACAAGGAGAACCTGAAGGCGCCCCGCCAAATGCCATGCCTGCGAGAGGCCCTGGGCACTCGCAGAAAAACCGTCTCCTGGAACCACCCCAAATTCCCCCCCCCTCTCTCTCTGGATTTCCCCCGCCGGAATTCCTGGGGCTGTTTGTCTTTCCAGCGAAGCCGGGCCCGTTGACACCCACACCCCACGGCCCCGCGTCTTCAGCCAAACATCTCATTACAGCACCCACGGAGCTGGGCGCGCCCACCCTCGCGCCGCGGTGCGCTGCGGCTCCTGATCCAGCCCAGAGGAGCCGGGTGCCGTTCCCTTCCCGGTCGCGTCGCCTTCTCCCGGCGAAGCAAGGAGGAAGCCGCAGACGCCCTGTTTTTACCCCGTCTCTCAGCCAAGCCGTGCAGGCTCCTGTCATTTGACCGGCTACATTCTTGGGGCTGCCGCGTGAAGGAGCGCCGCCTGAGGCAGCCGGGCTGGGGCTGGGGCGGGGCGGGGGGGGCAGCGCAGCTTTCGAAGAGCAGAAGCCGCCGCCGCCACCACCAGTTGAGGAGAACGCGCCCCCCTCCCTGCTCCCGCCGGCAAGCCGCCTGGCCGAGCTCCGGTAGGTCCCGCGGCCGCCTGTGTGAGCCCACAGAAAGGGGCGGGGCTTGGCGAGAGGCCAGCCAGCCGGAGAGAACCGTCTCACCAGAATACAGTAGAGACTTTTTGGGACGCCCGAGGTCGCCCGGAATTGGAGGGAGCAGAGAAAGTAGGGAAGCCCCCTGAAGAAGTTGGGGGAGCGCGCGCGCGCGCCCCGCCTCGGGTTAGCCTCCTTATCTGAGGGTCTCTCGGTCTTGTCCGGCAAAGTAGTAACCACAGAGTCCCCGAGGATGGATAAATACAAAGGTAAGGGAAGAGGATGCTCTCTCTGTGTGTGTATGTGTGTGTGTATGTGTGTGCACGCACGCGCGTGCTGTTGTTGTTTCTCCTCCCGGGCGTGGGAAAAGGGGAAAAGTCACTGCTTCCCACACGGGTTCCTGCTTCGCTTCCCGTTGGGAGGTTTGCGCCATTTAGTGGAACGTTTCCTGGGAGCCGAAAGGAACGCCCGCCGTCCGGCTTCAGGCTGGCGGGGACGGGGATACCTTGGTCCCTACAACGCTTAATCCGACGTCTAGGATTTGAGCCGGATTGGGGTGGAGCGGGAACGCGCGCAAGGGGCATTTTCTCGGCAGCGCGATGGGAGAGAGATGCTGGGGGGGAGGGCGTTGTGTGCGGTTGAGAAAAGGGGCGAAAACGGATCTTTTCTGGTCCATATCTCCAGACCCAGTACCGATAGAGAAGTTGGACTAGGGTTTTTTTTTTCCAGGTTTTTTAAGGAAGTGAAAGGGCGAGACCGTCTCTTTGATGTAGCACTTGGCAATGATTTGGCCTCTCTGGCTCTTTGTGTGGGTTCCAGAGGGCAGAAGATTATACACCGCTGGATCGGACCTAAAGGGTCATCAAGTCCACCCCTTGCTAATGCCGGACATTTCAGCAGTGAGAGCGATAATGGTGGGCAAAAAAAGGACGATTGGTAGAGAGAGTGATATGCAGCTATAAAATACTGTAGCTGGTTTCCCTTTGGAATGAATCAGAAAACGTGCATGTGTGTATCTGTGTGTGACCGACCCCCTACACACACTCGCACACCCCGCCCCCAGTGATGTGCGTGGCCGTCCTGTTTGCTCTTGGAAAAAAGGTTTGATCCCTTAAGGACCAAAAATTGAATCGATCGGATACGAGAAGGTGCATCAGAAGCTATTCTGGTTAGAGCCAGATGGACGGGAAGCGGCACCTTGCACACGTTCTCCCTCCCCTCGCTGAGTCAGGGACAGCTGAAAGGGCTGCTCGAGGCTTCTTCCCCTCACCTCCTCCTCCTTGCAGGGTTTCTGGCCATACGCAAGTATTGGTGGACTTTCTAGGTTTTTAGCCAGTCGCCTCCCTAGTCAGCAAGACTAGGCTGGGGAGTCGCTCTGAGGAATGGGAAGGAGTGGCTGGCTGATAATGGTATCGTGGGGGCGGACTTGCTGAGCCTCTCCTCCGCGTGTTTAATAATGAGTTTAAGCTCTTTGGAGCATGTAAGAAAGCTCAGCACCTAGTTTCTGAAAAGAGAGAGGGGGGGCGCCTGCGACTTGCGTCTTCCCCGCTGAAAGCACTGCTCCTTATCTGGAGGGTGTGGCGTTAGGACTCACTTAGGCTCCCTGGAAAGGGAGAGAGACCCTGTGCATTCTCAAAAGTGTTTCTCTTTCTTCTTATTACTATGCACAATCCATCACTGAACCACCCTGTTATAAACAGGCGGAGTCCGGATGCATGCTAAGCCAAGCAAAATGTTGTAGGCTGTTTTTTGCACTAAAGGTGATGAGATTTCTTCAGTGTGCTTATCTTTGCTTTTTTACAAAGATAAAGTTTCCAGTCATATTCTCTGGAAGTGAACTGCACCGAATACAGTGCCACTCTTAGGATCATGCGGTGAAAACCAGCAATCATATGATCTTGTCTGTCTGTTGTGCAAATGGTTGTTTCCTTATGTGCAAGGAACTTCACAGTAGGATTTTGGCTAGTAAGATTTACATTTGTGCAAACAAATCCACCCAGCATCATATATATATATTGGTCCACATTACCTATTTAAGGATATTGGCATATTGGTGGACTGTGCTAGTCAGTTAACAATAGCACATGAAAATCTGAATTTCTGCATTTATAATTTTAATTTTAGAAACAAACCCTTTGCAAAATTCAGACTCTTGCTGATGCTCTTTTTGTGTCTCTTCTTCTAGTATGGGTAATCATTCAGACCCTCCAAAGAATATGAATATGGTTTACATTTGTCTGACATCTTGTACACTGCAGAATTATCATTATTATCTATTATGTACTCAGTTTTGTAGGTCATTTTTGCTCAAAGGTGGCACAACTAGTTTGAAGTGGCAAAACCAGAATGAATAACCTCAAATGGAGGTGTCCTGCTCCTCTGAAATACTGTGAAACGAACACACAGAAGTGCATCATAAATGAGGTAGAAATTAACATTGCAGATGCTTTTTTATAAACTAGGATTCATGCACAGGAGGCCTTACACGCAGCACTAGCATCCTGCTTTGAAGTAGAATCTTTGCTTTCATCATCTGGGAAGAGCTGTTTTCTGGTGCAGTGCCTGATTAGATCATAAAAGTGGCTCCTCTCCCCTTCTTTACAGATACTTTGGGCATTCTCATATATGACAAGGCAGCAGTAGCAGCAGCTAGAAAGGCAGCTTGCCTGTCAGACCAAGAAGTGGCAGGGGAACCAGAACAGGGATATGAGTAGGTGGGGGCTTCTGGATTGGTATGAATCTGAGAAATGCACAGGGAGGGATAGGAGAGATTATAGAAATCTATGTTCATGCTTGTAATAGCAGTGTCCCCTGGGACTGATCAAGAATGCAGGGAGTAATTTTATTGGTCCCTAGAGCTGGGATTCTTTTCCTCTTGATGCTCTGCCAGGATCTGAGAGTCTTTATACATTTTTAGTGTAAAAAGAACAGGAAGCAAAATCTGAGAAAGAAAGAAAGAAAGAAAGAAAGAAAGAAAGAAAGAAAGAAAGAAAGAAAGACTACTCATTGTTGTCATTATGTGCCATCAATTTACCATAAGCTTCATATAATTTACAAGGTATACTAGATTTTCAAGGAGTAGTTTATGTTACAAATCCCCATTTCTCTGGCTAAAAACAAGATTTGAATCCATATATCCTGAGTTGCAGACTGACACTCTGGCCACTACATGCTACTGGCTCTCAGTCCAGGTGATAGGTTCATATTAAGTAAGAAAGGTTTACTACTACTATTTGTATGAGTTTGCCACTTAGATGTATCCTATTTTCTTTCAGATTTTAGACATGGCATGAGACAAAAAGGTGTAGCTATATGCCTGTACAATTATTTTATAATGTATCCGCGTATCTGGGAGTATGCTCTATTGAAATTAATTATCTTAGTTGTTACACATAAGATTGTATTGCTTATTTCTGTCATAAATCCTAAGCTCTTTTGTTTTAGCATTTGTTACATTGTTTCATCTTAACAAAAACAGGATAGAAAATGCATCTGAAGACTTAAATTATTTAGCAAAATATATGTATGTTAAAAGCCCAAATAAATTTTATTAGTACCTTGCAAGAAATATTTAAGCCTGTCTTGTCCTGGGTGGGAGGCAATTATTGATCTTACTGGGAATCTAGATTGCCTTTTTGTTCTTGAGTTGTTTTAATGAGATTGCAACTGACTGTTAGAAAGGCGTTTTTATGTCTGTATTTTAATCTGTTGTTATTCGTTCTGCCCCAAAAGGAATGGGTCATGCTGTGAACTCAAATAAATTAGTGTATAATTTCAAACTGTTCCAAGTCTGATGTAATGCTTAGCCTGCCCAGGATGGTTTTAGGGATGATTCCCATGGAATCATTAGAATTCTTCATGCAACTTTCCCAGAGTAATCTGTGAGCTGAGGCTGAATTCTCAGAGTTCTTTAGATTGAAGATCACCTGTTGTAAAGTTGTGCACATGATCTGCTCTGATGAAAAGTTTGCATCCAGCTTTATTCTGAAAGGTTGGCTCTTCAGTATGTTGCAGTGTCACAGTAAGCAGGCAGTCTGAAAAATGCCGGTTACAAATCAATGTCATTACCTTCATGTTAAGAAAGCTAGAGACACGGTAAGTTTATACCCTGTATCGACAGGAGGAAATGGGAATACTTGCTGAGTGAGCAACTCTGGTGCAACAGTGAACAGGTCAGCTGCTTCTTGGATGTGTAATGCAGTATCTCCAGCAGCATGCCGTGGCAGTGAGAGGTCTGACATTTAAGTACAGAAATGATCTTTTTCCATCTTGACACTCAAAAGAGCTGGCAGAGGCACAAGATTTCGAACAATAACAGACTGGGTTCTTTTCATTTACTTCTTGCTTTTCTGTGTGATTTCCCCCTCCTCCCCAATTTCCCATCACTTGGTGAGCTAGAAAAATACTTCTAAAGAAAGAAGTGGGAGGCCTGCACACATTGATGTTAAATCCACCGTTGCTGCCCATGCTGGTGGGAGAACTTGAGGAATTGTACTCCAAAAAAATAAAACATTTTAAAAAAATTCATTCCCAAGTTCTGGTCAGAGCTCACAGTGTGGCTCTCCTGTTAGGGGATGATCCTGCAGACAGAAACTATCCCCAGGGGATGAATTATTAAAACCCTGGATAACATCCTTTTGTGTATGGAGAACACAAAGCAGAGAACTTCTTGCTGGATCAAGATGCTTGATTAAAGTGAATTAACCCGCATTCATAATGTAATTCTAGACACTCAGCATACATTCATTCCACAGAAAAGAATGTTTACTATAGCTTGCAAAACTGGAATCACACTCTGTTTCTGTAAACAAGTGAGATAGCTGCAACCAACTTCATAACAAGACAAAATGACTCACAACTGAGTTCAGAAAATCTGACACATTATCTAGAAAGCCTTTAGCATGATAAGCATGGCAGGAAATGAAATGCAGTCACATCTGCTTGGGCAACTGCTGCCTTAGCTTGTGCCTCTGATACTCAGAGGGATTAAGCACCGTTGCCCTCCCTCCCCAAGTACTTCTCTGTTCTCGTCTGCTTCACTATTTTAGAGACTTCTAAGACCAACTAAGGACGTGGTGGCGCTGCAGGCTAAACTGTGTGTGCTGCAGGGTCAGGAGACCAGCAGTTGTAAGATCGAATCCACGCGACGGAGTGAGCTCCTGTTGCTTTGTTCCAGCTTCTCGCCAACCTAGCAGTTCGAAAGCATATAAATGGGAGTAGATAAATAGGTGCCATCTCGATGGGAAGGTAAACAGCATTCCGAATCTAA